TTTCATACTACATTTTGTCCGGATTGTAAGACAACCTGAAACAATAATGGTCAAATGGCACATTCAAGCTTTACCGATGACGGAATACCTAAAATATTTTTCATGTGCATTGCTTTAGGTGGTGGTAGTTTGGTAGTTTTCACTCCGGATCACGACAGTAATACTGATAACTTCTGTAGATGCCATAGCACAGGTACAGGAAAAACAATTTTAGAAAGCATTTCATCATCAAACACAAGGAAAGTAACCTGCAACGTCCGGGAATCGAACGATTAACATTACAATGCTCTATACTACTCAACGTTTTGCTAAGCACCATATGTTGGAGTATGATTATGTCACGGAAAGATAACCCATGTCCACGCGCTTTGATATGTCGTTTTTTATATTTGTTTGATTGTTCATTAATTGAAACATCCATCACTTGTTTACATGCTATGGGACTAACTTAAGGGTTAATACTTAAGAACAAAGCTCGATCCAAACGTGATACATGTTTGGTGTCCTGCTAGGCTCTTTGCCAGTTTTCCTGTGTTGCTGGGTGGTGTGGGAGGAAGAGCGATTACTGAATGCCAACCTTCGTTGTATATCTTGTTTTTCTTTTTTCTATTTCACCTGACCAGGAACTGGTCAAAGTAAGATATACATGTAGTGATGGGGCTATGTCTGGTGTCCGTCGTAGTGCGTCATGCTTCGTTTGTCGTCAACATTTGTGTTGTTAACACGCTAGCAGTCATAGTTTTTATTGGGTCATAATAAAACTTTGTCAGAATGTTTGCCGAAATATAATACAGGTCGATTTCGCGTATGGGTCATCTCTGGTCAAAAACTAGGTCACAGGAGCGAAAAATAGAAAAATCTTGTTAACGCTCTAGTGGTTACAGTTTTGATTCAAATATCCTAGAAATTGATAAAAAGGTTGTTTTCATAATTTCTAAGTCAAGTTCGAATATAGTTCATCTCCGGTCAAAAACTAGATTATTGGAAATAAACTTAGAAAAATCTTGGTATCATTCTAGTGTCTGCAGTTTTAATCCAAATATTCTGGAAATTGGTCTGGAAAAATTGTTTTGATGTTTTAGGTCAAGTTTGCATATGGGTTGTCTCGGGTCAAAAACTAGATCACCGGAGGTAAAAATAGAAAGATCTTGTAAACGGTCTACTGGCTGCGGTTATGATCCAAATATCCTGGACAATGATAAGGCAGGTTGTTTGAATTATTTCTAGGTCAATCTGGAATATGGGTCTGAAAGATTGTGTTGATGATTTCTTCTTAAATATTGGTCACTTAGGCTCGAAAACTAGGACACATGCCCAGAAAATTTAACCTTGTTAACAACCTAATGGTCATTTTTTAACTCTGTTGTCATCAAACTTGGTTAGAATGCTTGTCTGGTAAATTGCTTGGAGTATTTCAAAAATTTCATCTCTGAAGTAAAAATGGGTCACAGGAGCTAAAAATAGTACAATATTGTTTACTTTCTAGTGCCTACTGTTGTTATCCAAATATCCTGGAAATTGGTATGCAAGTATGTTTTCATCATTTCTAGCTCTAGTTTGAATATGGGTCACCTTGGCTCAAAAACATGGTCACTGCCCAAATATTGAAAACAAACCTTGATAACACTAGATGACACAATGTTTACTGAATTATCATCAAACCTCATCAAGATGCTTGTCTAAGTAATTGCTCGGGTGAGTTTGAAGGGTCAGGTGAGCGATCTAGGGTCCTCTTGGCTCTCTTGTTTCAATTTTTTGTTTGGTACAATATGTTGAAAACATTGATTAGTTCGATTTATGATTTTTAGATATATTTGTATGACTGCAGATTGAAAATAAAGTGTAAGAATAGAAAATGCGCAAGAAATACATTCAGTCGTGAGTAAAAATGTTTCAGAATGAAAATAATCTTTTGCCCATTATTACAGGAAGGACTATTTCCAACTTACATATTCGTATTGATATAATGAGTTCATATTACTTCCCAATTTTATTACTCTCACGTTTGACGTCTACGAATAGACTCCAAATACAGTCAGAATTGATGTTGTGGAATATTTTACGGTTTCCATTTTTACGTCAACACAATTGTTGCAGGGTTGTATATTTTCCCTTGACCAACCTGCCGAAATTCTGTTGTGCTTCCACTGACAAAACAGTATAATTCCTGGGCATCTGCGACATTTCTTTTTTTTTATTTTATCTTACTTTCACACTTTTGAAGATAATGCTTTCAAACGAATTTAAATGTGTACTTGTATACATGTACTTCATAATTTAGAAATGATATTTGCTAAACAATCTTCTTCAATATTGAACTGTAAGAAGGAACAAAACGAATGTATATTTAAACAAATAATACTTTTATCCCTCCATAAATATATTTGTAGGGTTTTCTGTCATTGTTCATTCTAAGAAAAGGTCATTTATCGATAAGCTAGTCATCAAATGTTATATTCATGTTGACATCATGAATGAAACGATAAACGATAAACAAAATTATTGATATATGTTTTATCATTATTGCTTTTTTTCTTTTATTTTTTTCTATTTTTATCCTTTTTTATTTACTTTTTTATTTGTTTTTTTTTATTTTCACTTCTAGCTATCGAAAATAAAACTTACACTGATGATTCACATCATCAAAATAATATAATGAACTGGTTATTCTTAAGAATGAGACATCAGTGTTGATTAATATTGACAGTAGTTCAGTTACCTGTCTATCTCGCATCGTTGAACCTTCATTTGAGTGGTATTGAACACATCTGCGGATGTATATAAATTCAAACTTTCATTTTTACCATAATAAAAAAATATTGAATCCTGCATAAGCTGATGATTGGGGGCATGAACGGTAACTAGCAATTTCCAATAGCTTTCTCGAACAGGTTTGATCAAACCGAGCCTGCAACAATATCTATTTTGTCGTTGTCACGTTATCTAGAGATTTCGTTTCATTGTAGTTTATTCGTATTAGTTTACTGTGCTTCATTTCTTAATGATATTTCAAATATACTTGCAGTTGAAAAGGCCGTAGTTACAACCGAGGAGCCAGGTAATACAACATTTCTTATCTAAAAAAACACTTCAGTAAACAGTAAACATTAAAGGAGCTCCTATGGGGTCTGAATGCCTACAAACATGCAATATTAAATCCTTCCAACTGGGACATGTAACACACATTTGAATGACTGCTAGATACAGATGTGTAGTATCTTTCATCCGTTAATAATTAAAATAATTTTCTTTATAAAAACTAGTAAAACAATACAATATAATTTAACAAAACATGCTTTTTTGTGTGTGCTTTTTTATCGTCATTTTCAGCTTGGCTGTTGAAGAGAGACCACAGCATTTCGGACTTAGATACTCATATAAATTGTATAATGAATAGGTTGTAAACTGGCAGAGGTCGATCTTGTAATAAATATTGATGCATCATCAAGTATGACGGAGTCTAATTTCCTGGAGATGCTTGATTTCTGCAAAGATATTGTGGACTACACTGATGTAGACAGTGGTAGTGCTCGAATTGGTATTCTCGTATTCAGTACAGACGCAGAGATTCAATTCCATTTGAATAAATACAATACCACTGCAGCAGTGAAAGCCGCTATTGATAAAATAGAATTTATTTACGGAAGAACAAACACTGCAGCTGCTTTAAGGACTATGCACTCAAGAATGTTCACAAGATCTAATGGAGATCGTCCGGAAGTTCCAAATGTCGGTATTCTGTTAACAGATGGTGTTTCAAATTTAGACATTAGAAGAACTATCCCAGAGGCAAACAATGCTAGGACGAAAGATATCGAATTATATGCCATTGGTTAGAAAACTTAATGAATTTGAGTCATGTAGAAATGATGTTATCAAGTACAGTTAATGTTTTTGGAAAAACAAATAAGTTAATTTAAGTTTCTCAGAAAAATATTTTAAAGAATTGTAAATGCCTGTGGTAAAATAATTTGATTGATTTGATTGATTTGAATTTCTAAGAAATCTTTATATAAAGTAACGTATTTTTCATAAGTATAACTAATTAATTCGACTTTCTTTGAAGTATTATTATTGTATAATTATACTGTAAGTATAATAGTTTAATTAATTTTAGGTTCTTAGATATATAAGTATCGCTTGCGCCTTTGGTAAAGTAATTTGATTACTCTGGGTGCTTTAAAAATGTTCTAAAAAAGTTATGTATTTGCCATTTATAAATCATAGGAAATGAGTATCGCTTCTAAGAAATGTTCATAATTATTTTTATGCCTTTAAAAATTCAACTAGCTTTTAACTTGCTAACTGGCATATATGCCTTTGGTTATTTTTATTTACTCGAGTTCATTAGAGGTATTGTTATAAAGTATTGTAAAATAATGTATATAGCATAGTGTACTATAAAATTATAACAGTCTGAGTAAATATCTCTGCGTTGCAACATTGCTTGAAAATATGTCCAGACAAATGTTCTTTTATACTGTATTGATCACTGTTATTTAGTTTATCTTATTAAAACAAAAAGAGGCTTCTTCTATAAGGTAATGAGCAACATTTTACTTTTTTAAAAATAGTTCATATTATACGGCTTTTATTATAAGAAACATACAACATTATAGAACATTAAAAACTATCTTTACGATAAATGAAATGCTATAAAGCAAATATTGAAATTTATAGGCTAACCAATATATCAAACATATTCAAATCAAAATACGATCCAATAGATTTAAATAAATATAGTGTTTTTCTATTGTTTTTCTATAAGAAAGCATAATCAAGCTATGCGTTTATTTAATCTCATTTCCTAAAGCAAAGTAAGCAAATACCTTTTATTATATATTTTATAAAAGATTTAATTTTCCAGGCAATAAATTTGCAACATGACAATTTTTCTCTTAGGATCATGTGTCAAATATTATGGTAAACATTTATAACTTTTTTTTAATTTCTTATTTTAGGTATCAAAGTATCAGACACACAAGAACTTGACAGTATAGCTAACACCCCAACGGATCAGTTTAGATTCCTTGTAAAGACTTTTGAAGAGCTCGCTGGATTGACCGAGAAAATCATTTGTGGTGAAAGATTCGGTGCTGGATGCGGTAATATTTTTATTCTCCCCGAAAGGTGTTTATAAAGTCGCCGGTTTGTCAGTCCATCTGTACGGGCTAACATCTAATAGTCTACAAGTACAAATGTTGCTGCAATGCAGCAATTGAGAAGCTCCGCGCAAAAAAATGTGCTCATTACAGATACATTACCAAATTATTCCTAAGCACAGGTCATGTTATATTCAGATTAGGTACTATTGTAGATTTTTCCGAATGTTTTGTAAAGCATTTTTTGCATAATTATGCTTTTCTTATGCACTGTCCATAATTAAAAAGAGGGGAACAATTTTTTAATATAAAAATGCTTTCACTGATGCCTACCTGGTAAGGAAAGTAATTCCATTGAATACAAACAAGACTTGTATATATGTTCTTCATATATGGTATCGGCGACCTTATCAATACTCATATATTCATTAAAATGATTATCTTGATCTATCACTTAGTTCGTAAAGGTTGCTTTTTGCATTGGTTATATAAAAATAATCTCAGTCAAAGTATTTGTTGAGAGAGATACGTTACGTGATTGCTATTCGCCTTTGTGGATAGGTACTGTAAATATTGTGTTTCTGTAAATGAGAAGACAACACTACAAAGACCCTTTTAACTGAGTAAATGAATATTTTGTAATAAGCTTTATCATAAGCTTGATCTATTAAAGATGATAACTCTTGTCACAAATTGGATTGACTTTCAAAACGAAAAGCCTCGGAGGACTAGTTTGTGTATCAAAGTATGAATTATTTATAGGCTTATATGATGACTTCTATAGTTCATTTATACATTCTTTTATTGCTCATTTATTTTACGGTTTTAATGGTTTAGTTGAAGATTGAAGAATTGTTTTATGCTTGTTTTAAAAATAAAATTTAGTTCATTACCTCTATTTTCTCAGGTAAACAGACAATACGTTAGTCTTTCCTATAATAAAACCGATATTGTATATAAATATCTTGCTATCAGAA